GCAGGCGTAAGTAAGTAAGTAAATATCATTCATTTCTTATCATTCATAAAAATGCATCCAACATTATAATTATCTACGATTTTTTGTACACAGACTAACGCTCCAACTTCGATTTTACTTCAAGTTTTGTCATAGTGGAGAAAATTTGTAGCTCAGGTGGATGATTGTGGTGGTGAGAGAGCGGAACACCACCACAACTAAGTTTTGTCAGTTCAACTGTTATAAATGTAGCTAATCAGCTATACGAGTTATGTTAGGTTGGTAGTAGTTATTATAATCAGCACGATAAAGAAACGTTGAAGTTAATGATAACATCTAGACTTAATGGTTATATTGAAAAAGGGAATAACTTACCTTGATAATTTTAGTGCCTATCGGTGAATTTTCTTTCATTGTAACCTTATATAATTCTTGATCAAATATCGGTTCATTATCATTCTCATCTAATATTTCTAAGAAAATGGTCATTGTAGCTGTTAGACTAAACATTGGTGGTGATGATGATGATGATGATGTCATTTCCAGTGGTTTCCTCTGCATATACACATGTGATGATGATGATGGGCTCAACGGAGAGGAGGAGGACGATGTTGTTGATGAATAACCATCCCAACAATGTAAAATAGCAAAGTATGGATTGGTGACATTTTCACGATCAAATTTTCGTTGACTGTATAATGTGAAACGTTGATAAACATGAGTCTCTGTGTTTGACGACGTCGATGATGATGATGATGGCATCGGTGAGAATATTGTGGAATTATAATAATGATGATAATTATTGATTTTCTGTGACAGTGTTCTGTCATGTAAATACAACGATTCTTGTACAAATAGAATAGGTTGATTTCTTATTAAATATGTTGGTTCTTCACAATGTACTTGACCATTAACTGTTGGACTGTCACGATCAATTATGAGAAGCTAGTTTGATAAATGAAAAATAAATTTTAATATTGTTAATAAAGGTTATACCGATTATTACTTTATTTTTTTCAATTAGACTTATGGATAACAGTGTTTTTACACGTTGAAATCATCAACCATCAACCATAAGATGACCTGGAAGCACTGGACGCGGCCATTTCGTCCTGATATGGGACTACTTGTCAGTGACAGTGCACATCTACGACTCTTGCCATTATCGACCTTGCTCGGACGTCTAACCTCTGGACCACTGAGCTAGCAGTGATCATTGTTGAATTACTTATATATTGATCTGTTCATCCATTTTTTTCCTTGAAAAATCTTCAGAATTATAACAGTGTCACTTATTACATGACATACAGAACACAGTTCAGGTTAATTCTAAAATATGACCTCTGACCTTAATGCAAATGCAAATCACAAACCTCAAAATGGCGCTATGATAGAGCACGTTAACGCTTCAGTCAACAGGAACGAAGTCACTATTCATGCGTTTCATACAAATTCCATTGTGTTCTAACTCTTCCCTTCTTGATCTTCCCCCATGTTCTGCTGCCAGACATTGCGTTGACACTCACGTCGTCATGTACTACTTATAAGTAGCTCGCACCGCACTAGTACTTTTCGATTTCGGAGAAAAGTTGAAAATTGAAGTAATATTTAAGTTTTTTTGTAAAACTGGTTCATTTAATTATCGAAAAATTCTTTCAAGATCGGATGATTAACGCTCTTTCTAAATCACCGTGGTGTAAATGCAAATCACATAATACTGACTAGCACAATAGTAGATTGAAATAGAACGCTGAGTAAGCCAAAAAAATTGCAGTAGTTCATAAACTCAACAATTTTTAAATAGAAATGTATCCGATTAGGAATACCATAGAAGTGAGGTGCAGTAAGTCACAATGGATTTATGATACTATCAAGACACATTTAAACTGTATACGGCAAGAATGATCTGTTTACTGTGTTAAAGAAATTATTATTTATCTAATCAAAAAGGTACCTACGTAATTTCCAATAACATCCCCTAACGTAACTTGTAGCAGAATTAATGTATACGGAAAGACATGTCTAGCCTAGGCAGTTAATCACTAAAACTTGTTAACTGAAGCCTTCATGCATTGAATATTCTGTGAAGAGAAGACGGCAGAATTGTTCATTGTAGCAAGTGTCGAAAAGTACAGGACTGAAAAATTCGTTATAATCGTTCAGTCGACAAACAATGATTTCACACCATTGCCCAGTCGGCGTATGGCACAACGATATTCTAGAAATTCTATCAGTTGTAGTTGGATGACTTCTCTTCTGCTTCTTAGGAACCTCTAGATCTTCATCACATTTACTAGAAGTCATTCCAACCACTTCACATTCAGCTATTGAAAGCAAAAGACCAATTGAAACTGATTATCAGGGTCATAAGTGTTAACGTTGAAGAACAAACGATTCTCTTTTTAACTGTGGTACCATCATTCACAAATGTTTGATTCATAGTGATGAGTTCAAGCTGAAACTGTAATTCTATGTAACATGCTAAATTACATTATTACTAAAGTGTATGAATGTGAAAACCATGTTGATTGACACAGTTAATAAATCAATCAATTGATTCACCTCTAACGTCTACATCAACTGAAGTTTTGCAAGCCAAACTCGATAATTATTCACTTGAAAAGTTTATCGATTAACACTTACAGTTTGATTTAATCGATAGAATGGTAAAAAATATTTTTCTTAATCCGTAACGATCATGTAAGGAATGAATTCTCATCGGAATAAGGTTATTTAGAAAAATAATGAATCGTGAACTGAGCATTAGTATTAGGATATCTCTAAGCCTATAAAATTACATAAAAAGATTTGTTAACTAATGAGTGGGGTTCTGCGAGCGAGACCGAAGTTTCTGGGTTCGAATCATGTAAGTAGAAGGTGTCGGGGATACACACTGTCACTGATGATTCCCATACCAGGATGAAACGACCGTATTTCAGTACATTCAGGTTTCTAATGGTGGTCTAACATTGATCGATTCATGGTTTGAAATAATAACAGACAAACTTCATACAGTATCTAGTTCATCTAACTGTTTAATGCTAGACGTAAGGAGTTTTCTTTTCACAAATTTAAAACAATTAGTCCCTTTTATAAACTTTGATTGAACAATGAGAAGACGTCCTGTGCACGAACGGCTAACCTCTGGTACAGTGTGCCGGCATCCAACAGTGATGAGTCCCATATCAGGATGAAACGGCCGCCCAACGCTTCCAGGTTTTCAATGGTGGTCTAACAATGATTGATTGATGATTTCAAATAATTGGTTCTTTTTAGAAAATTTTGATAAAAATCCAAAATAACAATTATGATAGAATTGTACACTGTATTTCATAGATTCTCGTCAGATGCTTAGAACTATGTTCATATTAAAGTATAACGTCAAGTTATGATATAATATGCCGAACCACCGACTGCCTCGACGACCTTTGTTTTGTAGTGTAGGAGTAGGTTGGAAGAAAGTTAGGGGCGGCCAAACCAAAACATGACAGAAATCCATGAAGTCATTGACAAGTGGACTGAGTCATGTCGGTAGTTGTCGACTACCTGGTTGGGGTCCGCGAGATGATAATAATCGATGGTTAGATACCCTGAATGACATGACTCAAAACCGTTTGCAATAGCGCCGGTGCATTTATTCTTAGTGTTCTCTCAAATTCTTATCTTCTGGATTCTTCAACAACTCTAGTTTTGACTTTCTAAACTTTTCTCACTGAATCATACTTCTTGAATAACATCTTCTAATCTCAACCTCTTCGATTACTTCTAATACCTTTACTACCTCTTCTACTATTGGATTTGAATTGACAATTACATCTCTGTGTATGCTAATGTGGTATGGCAACATGAACTGATGTACTTACGTACGAAGTTCTACGTTGCATCTGATTATGATATAATATTGAGTAATAGACGTTGGTGATAGAGAACTTATCAGTAGTAAATTTATGTATCAAAAAAACTAATGGGAGGTTGTACAATCTAAGTAAATCTTGTCATTGAAAAGAAAATTTTCTTCGCTGAATCGACCAAATTCTTTTTTATATGTGAGACTGTTTTAAAGATGGAATTTAAAAGCATGTAGGGGTTAGGCAATAATTATATGGAGCTCGGAAATCACCAAGATCGCTTATACAATAAGCACAGAAGATATGTAGAGGTTGCATATATTTCATCAGATCACTTGAAAAAATAGGAGAAGGCAAAGAGCAATGAAATGGTGGAGAAAATTTGAAGCTAAAGTGGATGACTGTGTTGGAGTTTCGTTTTCTGAACTGAATGTTTTTCTTGTGAAGCCTTCATAATTCTTCTGCTGAACAACATCATCAGCACAAACTTCAGGCAGATAGAAGTGAAGTAGTCAAAGTTCTCCACGTACGACTCGAAGCTTGCCCTGCTAACCTCGATCTTGATTAGTTGCTACTGACCTTAAACCTAACAATGTCTGCACTTTTAATTGTTTTCCCCATTGATCTGTTTCTTGATCCTAAATTTGTCTATGAGTTTTCTGATTAGTTGATAAGTCGAGTTGATGTCAGTGTATTTGTTGATTACTGATTGGTTTGAGTCTCAAGCTTCTAGAAAATTCTCTAGCGTCCTGTGTACTCTCTCTATCCAGCGTTTCAACACTGTTCTAATCGAATGAATGTCCATAGTTGTCCGTATGTATTGATATAAACGAGGAAATGTCATGTCCATCTAAAGTTTATGCACATGATTTTGTTTAGAAGAACAATGAAAGCTTCACAACCACAACACAAGCGAAACTCTATCACAAAAAGCAATGAGGTGGTAATAGTCTAGACTTCGAAATTATGAACGTTTTGAATAATTTTTAATCAGCTTAAAGAATTCAGTGAATTTGAAACAATAAAATGATAGTTTTGCTAAAGATGAGAACGCAACAGCAAAACAATAGCAGTGATTTAAGTACAAAAAATTATAATAATCATCAATCAGTCATTGTTAGACCACCATTAGAAACCTGCAAGCACTCAACGGCCGTTTCATCCTGGTATGGGACTCATCAGCAGTGCGCATCCACGACTCCGGCGCCTCGCAGGATTCGAACTCGGGACCTTCAGTATTGTGCGTGAACGTCCTCACCCATTTGTCTTTGGTAGTTACTGTCTACACCCGACATGGTTGAACTCCACTGGTCACGTCTTCTCAACTAGAACTCTGAGAATTTCTAAACGAAGCTATTTTGGGGCAGCGTTTAGGAGGTTTTATGTTTTTACACATTTGAAATCATCAATCGTGCGAGGTGCAGGATTCGTGGATGCGCACTGCTGATGAGTCCCATTCATGGAGAAAACGGCCGCGCAGTGCATCCAGGTTTCTAATGGTGGTCTAACAATGACTGATTGATGATTTCGAATGTGTGCCTGAAAATTATAATAATGGCGGGTAATATTCATAATTCAAAATTATGAATTTACTAAGGCTGTGATTAATTGATTACTAGTATAGGGGATTTATGAAAACTGAATTATTTTCAAAGTTGTAGTCATGAACTGATTTCAATTAAGCCATTATAAGTAACCTCGAATCAATGACAAGTTGTTTCATACTAGTTTACGACTTCAAAGTAATGCGCACTTGAGAATCAAGCCCAAGACAATGAGTTTAATGCATGAACGTTTAACGTCTTGGCTATTCAACCAGTATTCAGTGATATCGGTGTCCGAAAATCCATCAGTTGGTGATTTTGTGTAACTCTCACTCATTAACTGTTATCTGCTACCTGAGCTTGTAAATGCGAACAATTAGGTAAACAGAAGAGAAGCTGCGTTATTTGGTCTGGTGAAAAGTTTGATAAACTGAGAAACTTTTCATCATACAGTTAGTTAGGTGAACAGTTTATTGAATTAAAAAATTCAAAGTTCGAATATTTTCGTATAAATTTATCTTGATAAAAGGTCGTTTCAATGATTTTGTAGGTTTTGCGTTTTTCTTAGCAAAGTTATTTTCTACGGGATGCGGTTTTTTAACCCCTTGCCTAACACTCCTCTTTTATCCGGGCATTGGACTAGCAGTAACTCTGAAAAGGCTGCAGTCAGAAATCAGGAAAAAAGACTGGGGGTTGATAGGGCGCACAATGTGCAAATCATCAAGCTGCATCATAAGGAGAGCTCTATCTTGGCATCCTCAAGGTCAAAGAAAGAATACATCGCATTGAAAACTACAGCAAAATATCAAACGAATATATCACTTTTAGTAAGTAAGTAAGTAAGTAAGTAAGTAAGTAAGTAAGTAAGTAAGTAAGTAAGTAAGTAAGTAAGTAAGTAAGTAAGTAAGTAAGTAAGTAAGTAGTTAAGTAAGTAAGTAAGTAAGTAAGTAAGTAAGTAAGTAAGTAAGTAAGTAAGTAAGCAAGTAAGTAAGTAAGTAAAGAGAAAAATAGATACGTGCTAATAATAACGAAATAACTAACTAACTAAATAACTCACTTACATGACCAATCAATGTTTTTGCTGGTTGATTTTCTTTAATTGTTAACTTTGATGGATTTAATAGAAAATCTGGTGGTTCATCGTTTACATCTAAAATTTTAATAACAAGTCGAGTTAATGCATAAAATTCTCCATCATTAGCACGTACTGTAAAACTATACAAATTACATTGTTCATAATCTAATTGTTCCATGATAATCACTTGTCCAGTTGATTGAATTGAAAATTTCCTGGTGATATTTGTATCATCCACATCATTTTCCATTGAATAAGTAATGATGGAATCTATATCTTTATCAGTTGCCATTAACTGAAAATTACGAAAGAGGAAATAAGAGGAAATTAGTCAAGAAATGTTATTGTGTGATGTATTGTCTGTCAGTTTCATATTTTAACTAAATCATATATTTTGGGGCAGAGTTTTGGAGGTTTGCGTTTTTACACATTTGAATTCATCAATCAATAGCGCAAAATCCCTAGATCAATCAGAGTTAAACACTAGTACCGTCTGAGGCCGGCCCAGTGGTCCGATGGTAAGGCGTTTGCCTACAATGCCGATTGGTCCCGGGTTCGAATTCTGCGAGGAGAAGGAGTTGTGGATGTGCACTGCTGATGAGTCCCATACCAGGACGAAACGGCTGTTTAGTGCTTCCAGGTTTCTCATGGTGGTCAACAATGATTGACTGATGATTTCAAACGTGTAAATTATATATATATATATATATATTTCTGACAACTCAGTACTATTGAACGTTATGGCGGCTTATGACTTTGAACCTTCTGTGATTCTACACACCAAGTTTGAATCTGAGAACTTGTTAAGATATTCATCAAACATCCTAAGAGAATTATTATTTTTGGAAGTCTAATTTTTTTGGTCAATTCCTGTTGGTCAATATTATAATCGTCCTAACTATCAATGTCATACACTTCAGTGTTGTCTCCTATTGGTCGTACTAACTGTCATTGTCACTTCAAATGATGTTTCCCATTGGACGTGCAAACTGTCACTGTCACAAACGTCCATGCTGTTTCTTATTCGACCTAAATATATTAATACGCATTATCTGCAACGGTTTAGGACCCGGATCTGGGTCCTTTGTCCAGGATCCTTATTCTCCTCTAGACTCGTACCTCGTACTTTCTGGATGTTTTTAGAATACAAGTTTTACTTGATATCAAGTCTTCTTCTTTTATTCAATTGGGGTTGGGACATTCGGTTTAGAGTAGCATGTCGTGTCGCCGGATCCTCGATCCTCGCTCTCGTTTTTTGACAAACGTAAACTCGTAATACTAATTCAAGCACATCAAAATGAGCTGTTCACGTGCATGCGTAACAGAACTGATCCATCTTACTGATTGAAGGAGGTCAGCACAAAACCCTCGAAGATATTTTTAGCACCAGCTGACAATATTTAACATCCAAACATAGTACCTTCGGCATTAAGTGAATAAAACTAGTGGCCTCAGGGTAACTAGATTTATGGAATCTGATCATCACTAAAAGAATACCTGGACATGATATTCATTGATCAATCTCTTCTAAAATATATATTATTTCTCTAGGTAGTAAGTAGTTACATATCGGATTATGAAGCAGAGAGATGGAAGCTAGGATCCTATAGAGAACAGTGGTTCTCTGAAAATTGTAAGCATATCAGTCTGACCAGTATCAGTTGCCGCAAAACCAGAATTTCATATAGACCGTCTGCAACCACGTAATATACATATTCTCACTTGTAAGTTTTGATATTGGCCAACATATTTGTGGTTTGTCTTTAAAATGTTGCATCTGCATAGTGTAATCGAGCTTTCAAACTACAATATAAATGGATTTGTATTATGAAAAGACAATTTGTAGAACGCTTACTATACTTGTATTGTTGGCAGCTATTGACTAGCGTTGTCTTGAACCTAGCTAGATCCTTCTTCTCTTTCCGTTTATATTCGTCACTATCTAATTATGCACACACTTTGTATTACGTAATGGTTTTGTAATGATTTGTAATGATTATTTTAAGTCTGTTTATCCACGGTTTGACCTACTATTGACAAAAACTTTTGTTATCGTATTTTATAATTTTCTTACTACTACTATCAGTGTGGTGCGCGCTACTTATAAGTAGTATATGACGCGAGTGAAAACGTAATGTCTGGCAAAAGATGAGGGAAGATCAAGCAGGGAAGAGTGGGAACACAATGAAATTTGTATGAAACGCATGAATTGTGAAATGTCAGTCAGTGGATTGATGATGGATTTAGGATTTGCAAATTAACCGTTAACGATATAGTTTTCCTATTTTACTGAGTAACTCTGTAATTTGCGATAAATACAGTTCGGTTGCCCTCACCAGTGTTGGCCTTCACTACATCAGTACACCTCTGTCTTCCTCCTACTATCAACTTGTACTTTTGCCTATTAGAGGTGTAGTGACGTAATCACTATTTCATTTCAGTTTGTGATTATTGACTCATTAATTGCCTTGATTTGTTTAACAATTTCTTGTATAAATATATTCATGTATATTAGGGAGTAAAGCAGCCTGATTGATGACGATCTAATCGAAAACAACACTATTGTTCGCTTATTATCTCTGTGTTGTTCTAATTTTCACAATGGGAACCTTTAACATTTTTGTATTTGATGTGTGAATCTTTCAGTCGATGAATAGCAATCACTACAACTAATGAATCATTTTGACATATGCTCACCTAATAAAAATATCTTCGATATTGTTATTAAATAACAAGTGTTAATGGGAATAATGAAATTACCCATTAACAGTGTCTGTAGCGTATCGTGTTCATCACTGGACACCCCAATACTTACAAAGAAGACAGGTGAAAGGTTACAAGATAAACGGAAGAGGAAGTCAGCCTCTGTTTTTCAGAGTAGCCTAGGCCGCTGTACGATTATGAAAGCTCACCTACCAGTGAAAGCAAATGCCAAACCTATTTCACGTCTGAGACGCCCTATACAATATGCTGCTCATAAGCCTCAACAAAACTTATAGATGGGGAAGCAGCCCAATCGACGGTTGTTCAAAGATATGGCTCCTACAAAGCAGGCGGCTCGTAAGAGAACGGGTGGCCAGGTACCCAGGAAGCAGTTGGACTCTAACACCAGATCCTAGGAATCTTCTCAAAGGAGAGGTGTTAGTGGGACATAGATGGAATTAAAGCATGACTATGTTGCTGTGCACTGATTGACTAATTTCCTATCCAATCAGCGCCTGATCGAGTCTTGGAGAACAGGGTAGAAAATTCTCGTACTGTTAGCTGCATGCTGGTTGGCTAAACCTAATTCAGTCGATCACGTGAATTTCCATCCAGAAGCTTCTCATGTAAATGCTATAAATAAACTAACGTTGTATCTATTTTCGCCATCGGCTTCTTATTTCCATTTAGCCTTTGCTATTTGGAATATAATCTTTTCCTGTTCAACCGTGTTTTTTTGATTCTTTGGAACTTGTCCAGTGTATTGTGGTCAGAGAATACTAAGCAATAGGATTTAGCCGGAAACTATCTAAGCAAGCGTTACAATATGTGGGATTGAAATGTGGCTGCCAGTTGGATCTAGTATACAAGGGATTCATCGAATCGACGTATCTAAAATAGTTCAGTAGCTAAATGGATAATATGACTTGCCTTTGAAATGAACAGTACTACTGCAGTTAAGGAGAACACAGGTGGGGCAACCGAATTGTATTTAACGAAAATTACAGAGTTACTCAGTAAAATTGGAAAACCATATCGTAAATCGTTCATTTGCAAAATATCAGTTCATCATCATATCGAACTGGACTGTTCCTGTTGCAAAACATCAATCCATTGTCACTATTCATGCGTTTCATACAAATTCCATTGTGTTCTTCTAACTCTTCCTTTCTTGATCTTCCCCCATCTTCTGTTGCCAGACATTACGTTGACACTCACGTCATATACTACTTATAAGTAGTTCGCACCACACTAGGTTCAAATTCCTGAGTTGAACCACAACTCTAAGAAACAGTTCATCTTACTGACAGAGTCACAAACCTGATGAAATGTCAGTCCACATGATTCAACTGTGTTAGCCACTACTATCCAAACTTCAATCACACAAAAATATTTTTTTTCACTATAACTTTCTTATTTATTTCAAGTAATAATAATAATCTTATTTGAAACCATCAGTTTTTAAATGAAAATAAAAAGGCAACCAGTATTCAACTGGTCTTAACTGGTTTATTGTGTTTCTTTATTTTGGGGAGAAAAAAACATGCAACATAGCGTGCTAGCTTCATTTCTGACATGAAACATTAATGGATTACTATTATTATTATTATCATCGTTGTCAAAAACAATAGCTCTGCATTATTTCGCCTATATAGTATCGGTCTTTCTAATCAATAATCAAAAGTTCAATATATATATCTATTTCATTTGACTATTTTATTGTCTATTAATCAGTAGAAGCATTTAGCCTAAAACGATGCCTTTCAATCATCTTTACTCCTATGTCATTTGACAGTTACCGATTAGCTTTTACTGATGAAATTTAAACTGGTGAATGTCAACTCACTCGTTTGACTGTTTTAATGATAACTAGTCTTAGTTAAACAATGGAGTTGTGCGTTTGTTTTTATGCGTGTGTGTGTGTACAACTCTATAAAGAGCCATATACTTGAACTAAATCGATATCCGGCGTTTTCTTGCTCAATGATTTTCAATAGTTATGTAAAACGAAACTCGTATGTAAAATATCCGATGTTCAGCATGATCATACTATAAAATTAGATTGGAATAATGGTAACCAATTGGATAGTTGACAATTATGAAAGCTTTAAATTCGTTCACAAGTACTGTTTACATAATTTCAGTTATATCTGTTAAATCCCTAGAGCTCATTTGACAAAGAACCTAATTTTGGATTACATGCTTTCGCTTATGGACTGACCTTGAGATTATATTTCCCGCCCGGAAAGTCCTTGACTGTCATTGGTTGATGTATTATTTAAGTACGTTATTTTTGTGGCCCTGCCAAGGACGTCTCTGTCTTATTTAAATAAACTCGATTATTGTGCTTGTCAAAATCATATTATCTGGGTGCATGTAGAATACACTTTCTACGCCATATCAAGACTTCTTCTGTGGTGTGCGCTACTTATAAGTAGTATATGACGCGAATGTAAACGTAATGTCTGGCAGCACAAGATGAGGGAAGATCAAGAAAGGAAGAGTGGGAACACAATGGAATTTGTATGAAACGCATGAATAGTGAAATGTCAGACAATGGATTGATGATGGATTGAAGATTTGCAAATTAAC